ATATATATATATATATATATATATATATGTTTTTTAATTTAAGAAAGACATTATTAATCGGTTGACTTATATCCTACGAAATAATGCAAAACAGTCACAAAATCTATATTATTATGTCAAATTTAGTTCAATAATGTAAAATGTTTTAACACGCTTGTTGATTGTTAAAATTGTGTTTAAATATATTTTTTCAAAAATAAAATAGACTTTTCTATTTTTTTTTAAATTTCAAAATTTAAAATTATAAGAACCAAGTTATTTTAGTTCTTAAGAGTAAATTTTTAAAATTGTTTGAAAATATTTAATTCTTTAGACTAAATTACATGGACTGATTATATGGAAATTATAGGATCTAAGCTATATATCTTAATTACGACTAAATCATAAAAAGTAAAATTTTAAAAATGATGTTAAACACAATGATTTAAATTCATTAGTCCCTATAGTGAAATTGTCTTGACTAAATTATCTTAGTCCTTACTTATAGAGAAAAATAAAAAAGATATATATTTCTCTTAAATGAAAATATTTAAATATTATTTATTTATTTATTGTGATCATTTTATGTTTTTTTTTTCCTTCTTTCCATACATATCCTACAAGAAATCACGCGTAAAAGTATGGCCGGGCGCACCGCCTACGGTGTTTGATTAGATTGATGCACAGTGTCTTACGTTTGCATACATGTCACACACGTTTCCCTTCTCATTTGTCTTATTCCAAACATTCGATCTATTAACAGCTACACCCTTAATTGTTTTATATTGCAAAATGATTTTTTGGACTCTCTACAATCTACGAACATTTATAAAGTGGGAAATAAAAGAAGTGTAATTATAATAAAAAATGTGATGTGGTAGAAAAATTTTAAAATTACGAGAGTTAATACTATTTATAAAAATAAAATTGTTAATTACCAGTAGCAATATTTTGGAGTTCCTTATTTATATTTGAGATTTTCGTTAATAGAGCTGTTTAACAAAATTGGTTCAAATTAAATGAGGATGTTTACCAAAAAAGTTATCATTAAAATATATGTGATGTAAGTTTCTTCTACAAACGAATCTTATTTCTTATTGTTGTAGATAAAGTCTTTCGAAAATCCATCGCGAAACATTCGTGTGCGTCTATGCTTTTATATTATAATTAAAAGTTTATTTATAGAAAGAAAATATCACTAAGATTCTATTAGAACCAATAACTTTATATTGTTTACAGTCAACACAGATTAAATATTCTTTTTACTCTTTAAGATGTTTTTTAAAAATATAATTTGTGATAAAATTTTAAGTTTATATGGTGATTAACCTTAACCACATTGAATTTGAAATTGAAACATTGATATTCATTGCGAGACTGACTGATAATATCGTTCTGAAATAAGTTATTCGTTTCTTAAATTTTTTATTGAAAATGACCAACTTGAAATCAAAATATTAAATCTACCATGAAATCGATAATGAGATTATATGATAAATCATCAGTTTTTTAAATTCTTAATTAAGAATACACGTCAATAATTATATATTACTTAAGAGTAAAAATTTAAGAAACTTTAAATATTTCTTCTTTTTTTTTTGAGATATTTTATAAGGTCCATATTTTAAATGTATGATGATTAATTTTAAGTGTCTTTTTTTTCTTCGTTGAATATTTAAATCAAATTTACTTAAAAAATTCACATTGTTTTAAGAAATAAATTTTAAAGTTTAAATCAATATTATAAAATAGATTTTTAATAAGAAATTAAATCTCATGTAAAAAAAATTTACAATAATGTATTTATTAAAATACTGTATCGGTTTTATCATTTTCTTCATCGGACTATCATCTACTCTCACGTGAGAATAGATGATAGTCCGATGAAGAAAATGATAAAGCCGATGCAGTATTTTCTATATTATACACACTATTATATGTTGCTGCTTAATGTACACACTATTATACTCTCCTTTTTCTTCCTTTCATACTGATCAAATTTTTCTAGGCCCACACGCTATCTCTCATATTATTCTTTGTTCCATTTGAAAAACTTAATTTTCATTATTGAAATTGATACATAATTTCACTCCAAAGAATATATATTCTTTCTCCATTTCAGACCGCATTTGGTTTAGTTTCTTAACATGAAAAGGAAGTTGGAATATAAAAGAAAAGAGGCAATCATAATAAACAACAAGCTCTGGGACCCAAACAAGACCACTGTGACGAAGTTGGCGTTAGTTTCGTTGAAAAGTTACAGAGAATATAATGGGAACATTGCATATTATAGATGAGAATAGTAGTTCCAGCTCCACTATTGATTATTCAGCACAGACAAATAAGTGTATACTTCACTAATGATCTGTTTGATTAAGGAAAATAGGTCTTGCCCCTTTCGACACGCGTTCACGCAAACTTAGCTACCAACGACCAAGTAACCAACCTTGTACAAATTAAGAATGTTTTCGTCTATCGATTCTTAATTGCAAAGGAAAAATAAGGGTAGTTATGCCACTCTCTCCGCGTAATTCCGAACATCAATCACAGTCACACCAACATAACATGCACCTTCCTCACACATTCCCACACATCTCTCATGTATATATTTAAGAGTGTAGTGTCTTCAAATTCTCATATTCTCATTCTTTTTTGGTACACCATGAAGAGAGACAGAGAAGAGGGTGAGTTAGACAACATGGCTAACTGTCTGATGCTATTGACCAAAGTTGGTGAGAGTGAAGCCAACGCAACATCTAAGGGTAGAGATAAAAGGGATGGTGAAATTGGTGATTTCAAGTGCAAAACTTGCAATAGAAGGTTTTCTTCTTTTCAAGCACTTGGTGGGCACAGAGCAAGTCACAAGAAACCAAAGCTCATGATCACTGATCTTTCGTGCCGTCACCAGTTACCTTGTACTCCAACCACCAAACAACAACCTCGGATGCACCCGTGTCCCATTTGTGGGCTTCAGTTTGCCATTGGACAAGCATTGGGAGGGCACATGAGGAAACATAGAACTGCCATTAATGATGGTCTGTTGAATAGGAGAGATTCGGATTCTTTGTCCATTCTGAAGAAATCTAAAAATGGTGGAAGGTTGAATTTGTGTTTGGACTTGAACTTGATGCCATTGGAGGATGATGATCTTAAGCTCAATCTAAGAACACCCGTTCTCAATTGTTTCATTTGATTGGAAATTTTGTACTTATCCAGATTCTTTTTTTCCTTACACAGTTCTTGTGTGTTTTTTCGTAATTTATTATATGCATATGAACCTACTTGTAGTTCATTTTGTAGTCGTATCGTGTTTATATGAAATTTATTAGTATCAATTATGCAGATCATTTGAGAGTACGTCCCAAACACGTAATCGTTTTTGTCTGGGAAATGTTTTTGTTAAGCTTTATCCGAACAATGTTGTAATCTAATCATTCACAATCCTTTTATTTTTAGGGATCTTTATTTATAATTAAGCTATCTCAGAGATCTTACCTCCATAAAACATATAATATAATTTTACAAAATATATAAATGAATGTCATCTTATAAATTTATAAGACTTTTTAATATATATCAAAGTCATGAGTTGGACATAAGAAAATATATCAAAAATACCACATCAATTAAAAATAAAGCAATTTTCCATATAAATCAAGAATTATAACATAATAGGGTAACACAGGTACATAATTTTTGTGTTTGCCGCATTTCTTTTCTAATTATAAATAACAATTAATACAATTGAAAATTAATTATCATAATAATCATGAAAAACGTGA